ATTTATTGTAGAGATGAGGTCTCGCCTGCCCAGGCGGGTCTCGAACCTATGGGCTCAGGCAATCCACTCACCTCAGCCTCCCAAAGGCGCGGGAATTTTTTGATTTATTGTAGAGACGAGGTCTCGCCAAGTGCCCCGGCTGGTCTCAAACCCCTGGGCTCAGGCAATCCTCTCGCCTCCGCTTCCCAAAGTGCTGGGATAACTGGCGTGAGCCACAGCTCACTTTCATTTTTAGAACTGCAAGGCTTACAGGCGAGAGTGCCACTGCATGCCCTTTTCCCAGAGGTTGGACTCGGTTTGGCTGCTGACTGTCTTTCTGGCTTTTTTATTTTTTTGAGTAGAAGTCTCACTCTGTCACCCACGCCGGAGGGCAGCGGCACACTTACGGCCACTGCAGCCTCAACCTGCTGCTGGACTCAGGTAATCCTTCCACCTCAGCCTCCCAAGTAGCTGGAACTACAGGCATGTGCCACCAAGCTCAGCTCATTTTTCTTGATTTATTGTAGAGATGAAGTCTCACCAACTTGCCCAGCCTGGTCTCAAACCCCTGGACTCAGGCAATCCTCTTGCCTCTGTCTCCCAGAGTGCTGGGTTTAAAGGCGTGAGTCACCACACCCAGTTGTCTTTCGAAGTATTGCCATGGTGTTTCATTTTATTTGTGTAAAGGGGGAATGTGGCACGATCAGGATTATTCTGATCCCCTTTCACTTAGTGGCAGGTCTTGGAGATCCATATCTGTTGTCATTTACAGATGCAGGTATTTTTTTAATTTAAAAAATTGTTTTTCAGTTGGAGTCTCACTCTGTCACCCGGGCTGGAGTATGGTGGCACGCTAACAGCCACCACAGCCTCGACCTGGTGGGCTCAGGCGATCCTTCCAACTCAGCCTTCCAAGTGGCTGGAACTACAGGTGCGAGCCACCATGCCCAGCAAATTTTTTTATTTATTGTAGAGAGGTGGTCTTACCAAGTTGCCCAGGCTGGTCTCGAACTCCTGGGCTCAGTCAATCCTTTCACCTCATCCTCCTAAAGTGCTGGGATTATAGGCTTCAGTCACCATGCCAGGCTTATTTTTTTGAGTTGGGGTCTCACTCTGGTCCCCAGGCTGGAGTTTAGTGGCAGGATTACGTCTCACCACAGTCATGATTTCCTGGGCTCAAACAAAACCTTCTACCTCAGCCTCCTGAGTAGCTGGGACTGTAGGCACCCCTCATGACACCTGGCTCATTTTTTCATTTGTTATAGAGATGAGGTCTCGTGATGTTTCCCAGGCTGCGCGCGAATTCTGGGCTCAAGCAATCCTCCTGCCTTGGCCTCCCAGATTGCTGGGACCATAGGCATGAGCCACCACACTCAGCCAGATATAGCTCTTTTTATTATTTTAATTTTCATTTATTCATTTTTTGAGTCAGCGTCTCACTGTGTCACCCAGGCTGGAGTGCTGTGGCAGGATCATGGCTCACCACAGTCTCAACCTCCTGTGTTCAAGTGATCCTTCTGCCTTAGGCTACTGAGTACCTGCGACTACAGTCGTGCGCTACCATACCCGGCTAATTTTTTTACTTTTTGTAGAGATAAGATCCCACCATGTTGCCCAGGCTGGTTGTGAACTGGACTCAAGCGATCCTCCCACCTTGGCCTCCAAAGTGAGATATGGTTCTCTCTCTCTCTCTCTCTCTCTTTTTTTTTTTTTTTTTTTTTGAGTTGGAGTGTCACTCTGTCATCCAGCCTGGAGTGCAGTGTTACGCTAACAACCACCACAGCCTCCACCTGCTGGTCTCAGGCGATCCTTCCACCTCAGTCTTCCAAGTAGCTGGAACTACAGGCATGTGCCATCATGCTCGGCGAGTTTTTCTTGATATTTTGTAGAGATGAGGTCTTGCCAGGTTGCCCAGGCTGGTTTCCAACCCATGGGCTCAGGCAATCCTCTCACCTTGGCCTCACAAAGTTCTGGGTTTATAGGCGTGAGCCACTGCGCCCAGCCCTCTTTTTCTCTTTTTAAGCCGCTGCCTGGTACACGACAGTGTTGTTCTTTCACTTATCCACTGATGGACACTGAAGTAACTTCCCACAGCTTGCTGTGATAATCCCTTCTTAGAAAGCCTCTCTGCACGTTCATAAGTGATGTTCTGGCTGGTAGGAGATGCTCATTTCTGATTCTCAAAGGTCTTGCCACATGACCCTTCAGAGTGTGTGTGCGCGCCGGGCGCTTTAGCCGGGAGGAGGGGTGTCCGTTTCTCTTCTCTGGGGATGTTTATTCTCGGTTTCTTTTCTGCAGAGGCTGTATATAGGGCAGGAAGGCACCCAGGGGTGGAGGAAGGCAGCACATGGGTGCTTTGCGCCTGGGCTGGTCCCTGTGCAGCACCAGAAAGCTGAGGTGTGTCCAGTTGATTCAGGGAACCGTGGGCGTCACCAAGCCTGGCCCCCTCGCCCCGGACTAGGAGCTGCACACACAGACACACACAGATCTAACAGGGCAGGGGCGAGGGCCAACCCCCAACCCTGAAATAACTAGGTTGGAAAAAAGAAAATAAATAAAACAGCAAAAGGCCCTGACCACGCACTACAGGGATGGGCAAGGGCTGAGTGCACTCGCAGCCCAGCGGGGGTCAGAGGTGGGGAGGGGAGAGAGGGCATCGTCCCAGGACCCAGGAAGAGGGTGGGAGGGACGAATCCAGGTGGAAGGCGGGCAGAGGGCAAAGGGAAAAAGGGGGCAACACAGAGAGCAGGGAAGGGGCTGGGTGAGAAAGGCGGGACGACGGGGGCTGGAGGAGGCGGGGCGGGGGGGGCGACTCCCCAGGCTGCGTCCCAGTCTGTTTGCGATTAGCACACAGCCCAGAGCAGAATGGAGTAAACAGAAACTTCCAGGCGTCTTCTCCGCCCCCCTCCGAGGCAGAGCCGAAATCAGATGCTCTGTGATTAATCGTGGAGGATTCAGGACACGACCGCAGAGGCAGCACGGACTTGAAATTAGCAGCCTTCTCCGGCCCCCTTGCCAAAATGGGGGTGAGGGGTGGGCCTCGGGGGGGCGGGGGCCCCGCCTGCTGGGGGCCAGCATGGAGCTCTCCCAGGCAGATCTCGCAGCGACACTGACAGCCGTTGGCGGCGTCCAGAGCAGCCGGCGGCATCTGGGGGAGCGGCTGACCCAGGGGCCCTGGCCGGCTTCCTGGAACCCCGGCTCCTGCACCCTGCTGCGGGCCAGATAAGAGCCCCGGCTGCTGTATCAAAACCCGCAGAGCCGCCCCCCTGCGCCCAGAGGAAGCGATCTTCCGAGGCGATCTTTCCAGCCAGTGACCGGGGTGGCAATGACCGGGGTGGCTGGGCTTTCCAAGCCCTGGCTCAAGCCCTGAGGCCAGAGCCGATGGCAGCTGAGCTTCCTGGCGGCAGGAGGTGAGGCGAGGAGCCTTCCAGGAGGACGGCGTGACTGGACCTCAAAGTCCAGACCTGCTCTATGGTGAGTGCTGGGCGACTGCCCCTTGTGTGTGTCCTGGTGTGCCTCAGACTTCTAGAAGGAGAGCGCTGGAATGGGCAGCCCGCTCAACTTCCACTTCCTTTCCCAAGGCCGGGGGCATGAGCCTTGAGGCCGAGATGGGACAGCAGCATCTTGCTGTGCAGCCTTGGGCAAGTTCTTCTCCCTCTCTGGGCTTCCCTTTACCCATCTCTAACACAGAGTGCTTGAACGAGGCAATCTTTAAGCGCTTCTCATGATGACAGCTGTTTCTTGTGCCTCTGCTATGTGCCTGGCACTGGGCTGGCATTTGTGAAGGGCAGTTCAGGAAATCCCCCCAATTCCCCTGGGGGATGTGGAGTATTGTTATTGTCCTCATTGTGCACTGAGGAAATGGAGGCTCAGAGACGTGAAGTGACATGCCCAAGTCACATAGCCTCTTGGTGGCAGAGGTGAGAGTCAGCCCTGGGTCTTTCTGACTCCACATTGTCTGACTCCCCGTGCACCCCGATAGTCTGCATTCTGTGGTTGGCGACCCTGCAAGTACCCCAGGAAGCGGGGTGAAGGAGGAGAGGGTCTTGCAGGGCATTTACCTGCAGGAGGGAGGCAGAGGAGGGGCAATGAGCAAGATGCCACCAGCAAGCATCCTTTAGGATCTGGGTGCCATGCCCGCCCAGGGTGGGGGCATGCTGCCGGGGATGGGGGCTGGGACTCCAGGCTTGAACGCAGAGTGTCCGACGCCACTGCCTGGATCCACGGCCTCGCTGTAGAGGCTTCCGGGCACGAGAGAAGAGGGTTAACACATCGGGGTGGGGTGG